TAATACTGTATGTGTATTCTGATGATGGTGTTTATGTAATTTATATACTGCATGTATTTGAGACTTGGGGAAGACAGAAATATCACACATAAACTATGCATTAAACTAAACAGGCAGTGCAAGGAGTAATACTAGTTCATAACTATAGTGGATATGACACATTGCTTATGATATAAATAACTGTGCAAATTCACCAAGTACTATATTCACATGATACAGGGATAGGAACAAACAATGATTCCCAGTTCAGTGTTTGTTTGAAGGTAATAATTCTAGAAAACATGCTGTAAAAGAATTTTTAAAATAACTGGAAATTCTACACAACTAAGAAATTCATAATATGACGAATGTCCTTGACAGCTAGATAAAACTCTCCCCAATACAATTACTAATATTATAATTATAAAGCAGTAAAAAAACAGATTACTGTTTTGTTTTAATTACTCCTGGCTAAGTAGTTTCCACAGCAAATATATAAAAGGGTTAATGTATTGGTATTGGTTATCTATTGCACCAGCCAGCAGTTTGATAAATGCGTAATATGAAGTTGATGGTCTAACAAAGTGGTAGGCAGTCATGTATGCTTGGAAATTGTTAGCAAAAGTGAAGTTCAAGTTGATAATAGTCATGTTTGGTTAGTAAAATATTAAAACTAGGTTATTTTAATTATAAAACATGGTGAAGTAGTTAGTTTAATACATGTAGTGTTAATGGGTTGAAATAATTTGTACAAACAAACTCTCTACCATTAATCAAACATCTGGGACAGTCAACTATTTGAAATCATGAGTGGCATATGCAAATGAGGTTTTGCTTTTACAAGTTTGGCAATGAATCAAGTATCTAGAACAGCAAGAATGGCAGGAATATAAATGTTATGAACAGCATGAAACAAATTAAAGAGAGAACAATATTGACGTCTTTTCATTTATTGAACGGCAAATGTGTTAGAATAATCACACTGTGTTAAGGTATTACATATGTCATCTTTTAAAAGATAGAGATTTCTTTTTAAGATAAGTTTTATGTAATCTAATACCGTAACAGTAAATTGAGGTTAGTGCTAGTCAATATTAACTCTGATTAGACAGTGGTTGTTTTTACCATTGCCGTCTTGCCCTTGCCAAAGGCAGTCAGCTCATCCTTGTCTCTGTCTTTATCACCCTTCTTATCCTGTTTGAAGTGGAGAAATGAGCACACAACAAACAAACAAACACAAAACATAACCATGCAACTACGAATGTGCACTTGGATTTGTCAGACAAAAGTGATATTAGAAAGACATAAAATCAACATGCTTTGTATGTAATGTGGTTCAGAGGGTAATATCTCTAAAGTTGACAATTAACACATGCATTGTAAAATACAGACTGTGAATCACATTTGTTTTGTCACACATACATTTTTTGGGAATTTCCCAAATTCAGAAAAAAATTATAAAAGATGTAGTGACATTTTTTCAAGTCATTGACTTTCATGAAATTCAGTCACTGCGAAATCAAAACTATTTTTGGTAGCACAAATGGTTGACAGTAAAAATGATACAGCAATGTTTTTTCCACAATACACGCTATATGAATTCCAATACACAACATACAATAGCTTATAACTTGTGAAAAACAAATAACAGTAAACAAGGCAGTAATATTTTATAACTTTCAAAAGTAAATAAAACAAATAAAAGTTTCTGTCCAGCCGACTTTACCACAACCAAACTTCAAGAATGTGTACAGACTGAGAGTGAGTCAAACTATTATAAACTAGGGGTGTGCGGTTAGACAGTGACGGGGGTCACACATATCACCTTTAACACTCTATATCGAGATGAACTCTTTTTTGGAAGTGGTACGATCTCCTCCTCACGAGAAGGAAATTCCTCCTCATCTTGAATATCCTCCATTATGAACTTTGATAAGACATTAAAAAACAATGAGCAGAAAGAACAGTAGAATGTATGAAGAAGTTAAGAGCAAACAGTATTGTAAAAACTATATTAACTCAAAATTCATTCTAAAAAAATAATTATTAAATGTATCCTATTAATTTGCAGTGCTTAAAAAAATTTAAATGTACTTTTTATTTGTGCTCTAACATTTTTATACAAAACATAGTTTGGAAATCATTATTATATTAATGGAATTTAAAGACATACAATCAATTTCTGATTGCATCTAAATTAATTTATCGATTAATTTAAATTATATATTTTTTGGAGAAAAACAAGTGCGCTTTAATAGTTTTTTGAATGTAATCTTGGATGTAACCTGCACGACACAACATTACTTTTAGGCAGGTTTTTAGTTGTGTGCATGAAATTATTGCTAAACCTGCTAATGATGCATGTAGATTACATTATGGCAAATGTTACACCTGTCTGTGTCTATTTTTATCTGAAAATGAATCATTATTTATTGAATCAGCCAAAAATTATTCTATTAAAATTTGCGCACAGGAACAAAATAATTTCTCTTTGTATCCCATTATTTAAGTTCTTAATAAAAAAATAATACTTTTACTACTGTGATTTAATAAGGTTTTTACAGTATACATGAGAGGTTTATAAGATGTTACATGTTCTATACTATACTATGTTAGACAAAATAGACAAAAAAGACAAAATATTACAATCTGTGTCATGTCATGAGTGTTGCATACTGTTATTCTGGTAAATTTTCTATAATAAGGGAACATAGGCATTAAAGTTGTATTGTCGGCAAAAGTTATTTTGAAAACCCTTTCAATTTTGGCAAAGCAGATATCTTACGAATGTAAGATCTGTATGTATCTGCGGCATTTATAACAGTACACATATTTCCTAACGAATCACAGACCGACATTACAACTTTTAAGCGTCAAACAACCCATATCAGGTTTCCATTCACTCCAGGGTAAAGAGACAGCAGAAGCACCTTGCCCAAAGGTACAACACTATGGTATAGGCAGGATGCTTAAAAATTTGTGATAAGTCTAGAGCGATAACACCAGTACATGTAATTGATGTCCACGGTTACAACAAAGTTTATTTATAAACACACTGGATAATTTACCTTTTTCTTAGATGACTTGTCTCTTTTCTTGTCAGATTTATCAAGTAAAGTACCACTGCCTTTACTACCTGGTCTATCTTTATTATCAGCTCGTCTTGATGGGGGAGGCTGAAAAAAAAAACAGTAATTGCCATGGTATTAGATTAAAAATGTATTCACAGGAGGTGACAATAGATTGTAGTCTAGTTAGTGTCAATATGATAAATTACATCAGTAATATTTGCTTAACCGATTCAGCACTATATTCATTCTCGCTAAAATGAGGACTTTTGTTTTGTTTTTATGTTTATTTTGTTCACAGATCTTGATCAAAATTGTTGAAAAATGATAAACAATTTTGTGGAAAGTGAATAAAAGCTGACTCTGCTGACCTTTAAAGCTCAGAAAGATAAAGTGACAGTAAGTTGTGCATCAAGTGTTCAAATTTGATATAAGTTTTCAGAGTTAAGTCATGTGATAAAAAGGTACATCACTTATTCCTAGAGTTGATTGATAGTTGTGGAATCTTGGGCTGTATTAATCCAATCACTTTTGGTTCATAAACTTCTACAAACAAGTGATATTATGTGATAACCTCATAGTACTTACAGACTTTCCTGATATTCTGTCTGGGGAACCTTTGTCTCGGATCAATTTCCTTCTTTCAACCACTTCTTCATGAGAAAGAGCAAATCTGGAGAGAGTTTCGGATAATGTCTTGGCTCCCACATCACCGATCAGATTACTTGCCAATGACAGTGACAACAATACTCTGTTCATACGAAGTCCCTGCAAAGTGGGAAATGGTCATATTCTGTAAAAATTGCCAATCTTAGATATTCAAATGCACAGTTATGGATAAAAATATAGCTCATATGAAAACCCAAAAAATTAGTTGTCACATTGACCACAATGAACATACTTATAAACATAACAAAAATATGATTTGGGCAAAGACAAGCACAGCTGTTACTGAAAAATGAAGACAAGAATTCCACTGAAGCTGACAACAAATTCCTTTTTCTCTTACTTCACTTTGAATCTTTTCCCTAACACTATGCATTTCCCATTCGGTAATTAATTTGCAGTCCCAACCACAGAAATATGTAAAACTTAACTCCCAGAACAATCTAAAACATAGTTGAACTTTGGTGACCTTGCCCTTTGTTATATAATATAATTCCCTTTATCATAGTTTGTTTCAATATAAATATGCATTGTCATAATTAATTTTGAATACAAACAAGTTTTGGGGTTGAACCAACAGTGGGGAATCAGTCTACCAAATGTCCTTAAAAGATGTAAATATGTTACAAAAACATTGGTGCCTTATTTGTTTAATTATTTTAAGGAACATAATTTCCAGCTTTATTCAAAGTAATTCAGATATTTTAGTATAAAAACAAATGTCTCATTGCAAAAAAAAAGTGCTGCATTTAGATGTGAATAGATTCATAAAACATGCAAGATAACAGAATATTTTAGTTGGCTTTAGTCCAAGTATTTTGTACAGGTGTCTTGTCAAAAATTAATGATTCACTGAGACAAATATGAACTGCCTCATTGTGTGACTACTGTATTATATGAAAAGTAAAAAAAAAAAAATCTTTAT